GACTATTAGGACTGGAATTTTAGCAAAACTGCGAAGGCTCTAGCTCATTCACTTTTGGAAGGAGAAGTCTGAAATTTTAATAGCTAGTAGACCTCATTAGGCGCTACTCACAAAACAATTTTCATCAAATTCTGACGTTTACTTTTCGAGATAATTGACGCTCAATAGGCCGATTTTTTAGACCCCCCACCCCTTCTGGCCCATATATCTAGACTGTGAAATGCTTTGAAGAAATCTGACACTGCGCGTTCGAACGAGTACACTTTAAGCTTCATTTTAAATGTAAGATAGCAGGTTTCTGACTGAAAATGTAAGTTTTATAAAGGTTATGATTTTGTATGGAAAGGCAATTTTTCTCATATTTGCAGGTGCTCCCACGCAATTAGCTTTAGAGTTAAAATTCTGAAAATTATTTTACAAAGACAACTTTTTATGCTCTATCGGATGGTCAGATCGAAATGTTCCGAAAATGGTCACTGTGCGTACAATAGACACATTCCGGGGACCATTTTTCGAAAAAATCGATTTTCAGCCTGCCCGTGTGCAGTTAGCGCATGACCCCAATGAAAATAAACTATCAATTAGTATGTAACTCGATAAGGGCTACAAAACTAGCATAGTTAAAACTTGCCGGCACAAACTTTTGTAAAACCTGGGAGGACCTGTGTGGAATTAGCCGACTAGAATTTTGACTAGGAGAATCGTTTGATTTAATTTTGATTGCTTCATCATAAGGTGGTGGAATTTCTGAAATAATTAATTATAGATAAGATATCTTGAAACACATTGCTATGTCTATAACACTATTTGATAATAGCGAGAAAAGGGTATTTATGGAATGATAGTGATATTTAAGTTATGATATCAACTGAAGTAAATAAATTCGATTGGATCTAATAAGATTTAACTGTCTGAAGGAGTATTCTACATAATAAATTTTAAAAATTTCGTTAGCTCTAAAATAGTTAATGAAGAATCAGAGATTCTCTGATAACATAAATTCCTATATCTCTGCCCTGAAATCAGTCCAATCTATATATTTCACAAGTTACATTTAAAAAATATTATCGGACAGTATCTAATTCTCATTGTTAACTCGAATTATTCCTGTTTTTACCTGTATGTGATATAACACTTTGTTCATAACTTGGTAAACCGATATGATTTAGATTTGCGTATCTTTCAAAATTTCTAAAAAAAAGGATTATTTTATTAAAATATTATTATTCATATTGATATACCTATAATTCGCATCTCTAGAATTATATCTATCAGAATATTGAGCTTGTAATTGTGCTTCCTAAAATAAATTTGATTGTTTTATTTTGTTATTGATTAAATTCAATTGATTTTTACTCTCATTCGATCGGCATTGAATTTTCGTAATGCAATTAATATTTTTTCAGCAGATATCCAATACATAAAGGCAAATAGAATTCCAATAATACTACAAAATAAAATATATTTTTTTTATTTATGTACAAAAAAAAAATCAATACCCGAAAATAATAAATGAAACAGAAATTCTTTGACTTTCAAATGACGTTAATAAAGATCCAGCAACTATAAGAAGAATTCCAAAAACTAATAAAAAAAATAAAAAATAAATTTTTAATTTCAATTCTAAAACAAACCAAGAAATGTAATAGCTGAAATTTTTCTTTTTCTTATAACACTTTCGATCCGTTCATTCGGTATATTATGTGGATTTGCAGATGTTGATGTTGCCATAATGATATGTATTGCATTCATTTTCGTTTTATTTTATTTTACATTTAAACTAATAATAATAATAATACAGGAAAAAAAACATATAATCAGTCTCTCTCTACGATAATTTATGCATATACAATATACGAATAGAAAAAATTATTGGTTGATCGATATCGACCAATAGGAAATAATATGTTTATTCTTATTTGTCAATCATTTAGTCAATGTCGAACAGCAATACTGAACGTTCTAATTTTCGAAGTAATCGACCACTTTCATCAAATCCACCGCATTCAATTTGTTTAACTGATCGAAAAGTTGTTTCATTTACACACTTATGGACAATTGATCATTTTCAATCATACTTAGGTTTATTTATTGTTGTTCATATAATTTTTATTTTATTTTGTATAATTTAGATGATCCTCAATCTCCTCGTGTACTATTTAGTTCATATTTTGCACCGACATTTGGACCACATACAGATACAAGGTAATTTCATCATTGTAAATAATATTATTTTTGATTTTTTTCTTTTAGTTGGTGTTTAAAACTATATCCAAAAGGTGTTAATGAAAAATCAGTTGAATATATAAGTTTATTTGTTAAATATGTTCGTGGACGTTCAGATTTATTAGCTAAAGCAGAATTTTCATTAATAAATAGTCGAGGAGAATTTCATATTGTACGAAAAACTCCATATCATGTATTTCCAACAGGTGGTGATTGGGGTTATTCAGAATATTTAATGCGTATGGTATTAACAACACAACGTAAATCTGAATTATTAAATTCTGATCAAAGTTTAAAAATATTTGCTCGTGTTATTATTGTTGGAGAATCATCATCATCAATAATACATGAAGAAAAAAAGAATACATATGAAAGTTTAGTATCATTATCAACACATTTTAGTTCATTATTAACAACAGCAAAAGAAAATTGTTATGATGTAACTATTATTGTACGACCAGAACAATTTAATAATTTAATCTATGAAAATAAATCACATGATTTACCATCATCATCAACATCGTTACCAAAAAGACAAAATAATCGTATAAAACGTAAACGGTATAGTACAAATTCAGGAGGAAGTAATGGTGCAGGAGAATCATCGGATGAAACTATTTCAACAACATTAGCTATTCCATCAATATCTACAACAATGACATTTTATGCTCATAGAAGTATATTGAGTGTAAGTATGATCTATTTTCATTTGATAGAGTAGAGAAATTATGTAAATTGATAATTAAAATACAGTAAAACATCTCTACGCGTTCAATGTCGGATTAAGACAAAGGAATTGAAGTTTTGATGATCCTTTTTTTTCTTAACTCGACATTGAACGCAGACATATATTTAGAAGATATGTACGTTTGATCTATTATAGGAGATACAAAATTAATGTGACTGATTGAAAAGATAATTTAGTTGTCATAGAATCAAAAAATGATGAATGATTTATGTTAATTCAACCAGATTATACTACTTCAATTAGTACTCATTTCAATTCTGAAATAAATACTTCTAGTTTACGAAATCAACATTAGCATTAAATAAGCATCGTTGAGCAATTCCAAGGAAGATTTAACTGGGCATTTAATAAAGTTTAGTCAGTTCTAATATTAAGTAAACTTGAATGCCTGTCGAAGACTTGTCATAAAAATACTACTAATTCAACTTACGCTGTTCGAACTCAAAAACTACATAGTCGGTTGAGATACTATTGTATATTCAGACAGTTGCCCATCATTCTCTTGACAGATATAGCATATCACATATTTTTAAGTACAGTTTTTAATATCTCTTCTTTTTTAGGCTCGTAGTCCTGTGTTTGCTGCTATGTTTTCTCATTCAATGTTAGAAGATCAAAATTCTACAATTGAAATAACTGATTTACAAGCTGAAACAGTTCGTTGTTTACTGGAATATATTTATACTTCAAATGTCGAAGATATTAATGAACATAATGCTATAGAAATTTTTAAAGCTGCCGATAAATATCAATTAGAATTTTTAAAACAAAAAGCTGAATTAATAATGAGTAATTCTTTATCAATATCAAATTGTACAATGCTTTTTATTGTCGCTGATTTACATAATGCAAATGATTTAAAAAAACGTATTTTAAATTTTATTATGCGTAATATACTTCAAGTTATTGAAACAGATGATTGGCGTATTTTAGTTGAACAACATCCAGTATTAGCAACAGAAGCATTTGTTTATTCAGCGGAACATGCTGCATCATGTGCTTGTTCGTCGTAAATAATAATTTGTTTTATTTATATATATATAAAATAAAGAACAAATTTTTCTTCTTCTTTGAATTTGAACAAATGAATATATTTTAAAATCAATACGATCGTATATCAAAGTTATAACTAATTTTTTAAACTTGTTTAATCAGTAAAAATCAATGATGTAGAATATAGTTATTTCCTTTTTATTATTTTATATAGCTTTTTAATTAATTCAAAAATAGAATAATAATAACTTGTAGATGTCAGATAAGCATGAAAGCTCAAAAGAACAATTTGAGTAGACGTAAAACAGATTAATACAGATAAAAGTCTAATAATACTTTGTTATGAATTTATTTAGAAGATTATATAAGCGGTTATCATGCTGAGGATATGGATGTATTATGGCGGCCTGTTGAAAAGTTTTTGATACAAACTGTTTACTCATTTTTGAGTTTCTGTAAAGTATTCTTGACAATTAGAAAATTAATGGTTAGAACCAGAATTTTATGCTCCTCCTGAATAAGAGCTTAGAAATTGTGTACTTGTTTTCGCTCGAGAGTAGTGAGGCTTTCATAAGTCCTTGTGTAAAGGTACTAAAAAGGGTTCGATTTGATAAGTTTGTAGAATGAACAATTCTTTACGCAAGTACAACGATAACCATTTATCACGAGAGCTGTACCTATCAAAATCGATTTTTCAACAATGTAGCTGATATGAAAACCACAATTTAGGTATTTTATCAGAGTAAGAAATTTTGCTCTACACACTGATATGTGTAAGATATCTAACTAGCCAACGTATTGTAATGAATATTATTGTTTACACTAAATTATTTCAAGTAGAAGTGCGTAGAGTACGATATTTTGTCAACCTAATATTTATTCCGATCAAATTTCATTAGTATGCTCGTGTCAGTTTAACCATATAAACAATCTTCTATAATCTAATTCATGTCTTATTTTTAGCACTATCGATAAAAGTAACATGCGAAATGTAACATTAAGATTATTGGTATATATATATAGATATACTGAAAATATTTGAGAGTAATTAATCTGATTTCGAAATTCTTGTTTTATTGATGTGTTGATGATATGATTTCTATCCCAGACTAAGGCATCAGAATACATAAACATGTTATGATAGGATATTTATACGAGTTTATCTACAAAATATTGATACTTGTTTTGTGATATATTTACTTTTATGCTATTTTTTAATTCATCTATTGAAGCTTTTTGCATGTTATAACTTTTCATACGTCATAAATATAAATTTATAGAATAAAATACATAACCCAGTAAGATAATGACTTTCCATTTATAACAAAAATCGATTTATATAAATAGATGATAGACAAAAGAAATCTATTTATAAAGTCCATTGTAAGTATGAAAAAAAACTAATATCTTATTTTCTTGTATAGTACATGATTCAATGGGTTTCTTTTTCACTTCGCTTATTTTAAATAACAAAAAATTAGTATTCATAATTGTAACCTGGTTTGAAATACATTCATTGCAGATCAATGAATATCTAGGTACTTAATTGAAAAGTCTATTTACTCTGTAATCTTTAAACTTGATAATCATGTCTTATCTTAAAACGATTAGTTTTAAAAATACAATATTTAGGTCACTGGGTATTTCTATTTTAACTATAATAATGAAATTCAAAAAATATTTCCTTTCATTATATAATAATTTTATCTAATAAAATAAGTATTTCATTTTTATCGAATGGTTAATTTGAACTTTGAAATTAGTTTCCGGTAATTTAATTTAAAAGCAATTTTTATCGTAAATTATGTGATGCATAAGAAAATAAATGTTCAGTCATTTTTCTATGTAATAAGTGTCATCAAAGATATCATATTATAACTAAACATGAAAGGCAAAGAATAGTTATTTATAGTCTTTTCTACTCTTTGCCACTAGAAAATGTTAAATAATCAGAATAAAGTCTTCGATCATTTTTATATTATTCTCTAAAGAAACATAAAAACGGACTTATTTCGAATAAAATATAACAAAAAGAAGAACAGGTCCTAATACATTTATTCTCGTTGATGTCTAGAATGTGATGTACGAAAGTCACGTAATGAATTTAAATTAGGTAGTTTAGTTTTTGCATGTTGACAATAGAAAATCTTTTTAAAAGCACGACGAAAATGTATATTACATAATGGATATACAAGAGGATTAACGGTTGAATTTATATATCCAAGCCATATAGATGCAGTATAAATAGTATCTGATACACAATTATGACACCATGCTACGACTAAAAATAATATGAAATAAGGTAACCATGTTATAGTAAATACACCAACGAGCATTCCCAACTGTCTAGCAGCTTTAAGTTCTTTTTGAAATGAACTTGAAAGACTTGGATTAATAATATAATCAAAAAATGTTAAAATATGCATTTTATTTGGTTGATTTATTAATGTTGAAGGAACAGTTAAATACTGATCATTAGAAATTGTTGTTTGATTTTCTACAGGAACTGGAGGAGAAGATGATGATGATGGTGTTCGCAATCGACTAAAACAAAGAAAAGAAGAAATTCTAGGTTTCTTTAACTAGTAATAATTGTTTTGTAGAAAATGTCAAGAATTAATGGGTTAGATTATCTTTGTGATATCTGTTAAAAATAATTAATAGGCTCTGAGTACTGGATACTATCAAGAAGATTTGTTTACCGCAAATTGACAGTCCCATTTGTATTAATAACTAATATACTCAACATACTTTGAGTGTTGAATACAATTATATACTAGTTTCC